TTTTTTTTTTTTTTTTTTTTTTTTTGATTTGAGAGAGGATGGGAAAGAGAAACATCGAGTTGTTGTTCCACTTATTTCTGCATCATTGGTTGATTCCTCTCTGTGCCCTGACTGGAGATCAAACCCGCAACCTTGGCGTATCGGGACGATGCTCTAACCAACTAAGCTACCTGGCCAGGGTGACAACATATTATTTTTAGTGAATATTTCAATGTTCTGTACAATTTGTACTGTTGAGAAGACAAAGAAAGACGGACAGATGGAGATTTTTTTTTAGAATGGAGGTGCCAGGTGGTGTTAAACCTTAGCTCTTGCTGTAAAGAATGTGTAATATTTTAATGTACCCAAACTTCCACTGTTTAATCACCAGATATTTCACTGCTTGATCTGTCATTTATTTCTTCATTAGCACTGATTTCCACAGCCAATCCAGACTATAATAGTGAAACAAGATAAAGTACTTGGTCAAATAACGATAATGTTACTGTATTTACCAAGGCTGCCCTAATAGAAAATGTATTTAAAACAGCTCACAAAAGGAAGAAGCTAGGTATGGTCCCAGAAATCAATCTTGTTTAATTTAGATTTGCTCATAGTTTAGTGCTGGAGTTGTGGTTAAGCTATATTGGAAAAAGTGAAATGAATATATATATTATTTGGACACATTATTAGTTTAAAGTGAAGGAGATAAAAACAAAAAGGTCAGTCATAGATCAACATTTGATTTTCTCCTTTCAAGACTTTCTAAAGTCTTGAGCATAAAAACTTGATTTTCTTTAACTACACTCAAAGTTGACATATATCCAAGTTTTTCTCTCCTCGCTAAAATTAGGCCTCAACCATATAAGTATGTATTACAGATCATAAACTCTAAAGTCGTCTAAAAATTAACTAAAAAAAAAATTGGGGGTTAAAAAATGAGATTTATAATACAATGAGGCAATGAAAGGAGGGAAAACAAATGCAGGGGAAAGATATAATTTTTCTGTTATTTTAATAAAATGACAATCTCACTTTGAAATGATCTCTCTACTTTCTTACAGTGTCCTTACCTGACAAACAGTATTTTTGAAGTTATGCCAATCAGTTGGTTCAGTACCAGCTGTACCTCGATGGAGCCAATCCACTGCCGTGATCCCACAAATGTTGCTGGTTTGTCCCCGGCATCAACTAGAGCCTTTTTTTGTATCGAAAATACAAAATAATAATAAAAACCATACACAAGACAGCTATTAAAAATTACACTTAGGGCATTTTCCATGATTACCAGGATATTTTTTCCTTCAAAACAGAAACAAGTCTGAACCATGAGGTAGTAATTATTAATGGTATATTAAAGGCTCATGAAATGTACACTGAGCATGTAAAATGGCATGTTCTGTACCTGCTGGATTTCTCTGTGTGTGGGAATGGCTCTCTCCGTGTATCCTTGGTGTTTGAACCAAGAGCAGATGGTCTGCAGAGATCGATAGGCGCAGCCCCAGCCGTTGTCATCCATCCGATCCTGCATGTAATGGTGATAACCGTACATGCCCTGGACCGTGTAGACCTAGATGAAAAGAAGGAACAGTCAATATTGACTCAGAGAGATGCATTCTATACATATTCCCGAGCCATGTCTACTGTACTCAGAGCCAGACTGTTACTTTAGTTCCTTATGAAAGTGCCTTCACGGAACTACAGTTGAACATTTTACCCTCCTGGGTTTTTATTAAATGTCCCACGTCCTTACCAAAGGCTGTAAGGTTTGGCAAGTCCTGCCTTCTGGCTTCCTCTCCGACTTCATCTCCTACCACTTCCCCCTGTTGCTTGCTCTGCTTTAAGTTCAGGTAAGTCGGGCAATCTGATATCGGAGCCTATGGTTCTCTCTGCTTGGAATACTCTTTCCCCAGATAATTTCAGAGCTCGCACCCTTACTTCACTCAGTTCTCTGTTCAAATGTCAGAAGCCTTCCCTGATGACCCAACCCAAAAGCAGCATGTTCATTCCCTCACCACCCACCCTGCTCTGTCTGTCACTCTATCCTGTAGCTCTCTAGGAGAGATAATGAACCCATTTCATTGTAAAAAAATCAATCATTTATTTAGTACCTTCTGAGTGTATGGCACTTTGTAAGGAACTATTAAGAACGAAAACAATATATGATAATATCTACCCTAGAGGAGTTCCAAATATAGCCTGAGAGAAAACATTTATAGAATAACCTACTAGAAAACCATCAAGTTTTATTGTTTGAGAGTCTAAGTTTTGTATTTCCTCTTCTGTGATTCTATGACTGTGACAGAGCAAGATTTTAAACTAGAAATAGGCCTCAAGATTTCCTCCTATATAAGCAAAATAAAAGAAAGCCCTTAGATCACTGATAAGTTAAAAGACACATTTGTATCAAGTAACAGTGAGTGCCCAGCCTAGTCTCTCTACGGGAAGCTGGTCTGCCCACAGCTCTTGCAGACGGAACTGCTGTCCCAAGCGCACTCTGATGGTGAGGACTAGCAATGGGCCCCTAACTCCTCTAGGTAGACACTGTATCAGATATTCATTTTTACTTATTTCCTTACAAAGCACCTGGAGACTCAGCAGGTACTGAGTAAATGCCATGACAAGATGGCCAATTGAGCATCCTGTCTTGGGAATCTGAAGGTGCAGAGTGAATGGGGCAGAAAGGAGCAGGGAATGAAGCTGAAATAATGCATAAATGAGCAGCTACGAGGAAGAGTAGGAAAAGTTATAGAGGAGCGGCAACACTGAGGAAACAAACAGAAGCTAAGAGGCTGAGAGAAGACAGTAAAGGGAAGAACAGGCCAGTTAGGATCAAAAGCAGACACAGCAGGAGAAAGGCCATTGAGGAGTCAGTGTAAGCCTGAGACTCAGGCAGCTGCTCTGTTCTGAGGTCAGCTGTACAAACATCCCTATCTTGGATGTCACAAGATCTTTTCTAATTGGCCTACGTGCATCCTTAAAGGAACCCTTCCCCCACACTCCTTATCTCAGCAACCTTTAGTGAAGATTTACCCTTTGCAAGCAGGTACATGCTGCGCAGAAAACATTGTAGTATCTTATTAGACTTCAGCTAGGGTGCGGTTTGGGTAGAATATGCCCTTAATTAGCATGATTTCTCAGCTTCAAAATGAAAGTGAAATGCGAAAAGTCTTAAAAGAAATTGGGGAATGGAATTTTAGTAGATGAAATGTGGGGCATACTATCCCTAACCTTTTTAGAGTACTACCTACTGCTATCTTAAGCACTTGATTATTAAAAGAAATGGATGGTAAATTATGTTTTAGGGATGACATACATTACGAATCAATCCTTACAAACTCCACTGGGGACAAACAAAAAACGAATGACATTAATGACCAATTGACCCTCATAAACAATTATTAAACTTACCATACCAGTCTCGATGTTGGGTGGACTGAGATAAGTGTGTGGGTTTCTAATGTAACCATCTTTGTATGGCTCATCTGGAAAGTGATAAGCATTAGACCTTTTGAAATAAGGCCTGTCATGAGGCAGATTGAAGAGATCATGTAACTCCTAAATGAAATCAGAATCGATAGGAAAGAACAGAAAAAAGGCTAAACAATTTCGATTTCTAGTCAATAAATAAACTAAAGATGTAAAACAGAAAATTAACTATATATTGCTTGTAAAAGTTATCAAACACACTTATGATTTAATCCACTATGGTCAAAGAGGGTGAGAATAAAACCAAACAAGATTTATTTTTGCATGGCTATGTATATGGGTAGAGACTGGAAGGGAACAGAAAAATGAAAATAATTTGTTAAATGTGAGAGAACTGAGGTAATTTAAAATTAATTATCTGTTATAACACAGTCTGTTAACATATATCCAGGATAAAGACTGGTTTTGAAACAGGCTTGTGAGTAAATTATAACTAACAGTGATATAATTATTTTAAAGTGTTTTTAAAAATCATGCCTAGAGTACTTAAAATTATAAGGGGTAGTGATCAAATTTCAGAGTAGAAATTGGTGGTATGAAACCAACCAATATGACATTGAAATAAAAATACACATGGTTAAAATGCAAAACTATTCCCAATTGTATAAAAATGTGTAATAGTTACTTGGAGAAGTTTAACATTCTCTCTCTCCATCTCCTGTGCACTCCAGCAGTCCGAGTGGGGCCGGCAGCTCAAGCAGCTGCCTCCCTATCAGTTCATCTAGCGCAGACACAGAGGGTGGGAGTATCGCCCTCCTCTCGGCAGATCAGGAAGGTGCGCCCACCTTACACACTGCCGGTGCCGGGCGGGGCCACACGTCAAACACATGTACTCTAAAACCAGTCATTTTGCCAGTAAACCTCATTTCTTTGAGTGCCCATCATGTTTCTTTCAAATGCCTCCAATAAAACTCAAATAAGCCTGGGAAGTGGGGGAGGGATGGACTATTGTTATAAATCCCAATAGAATTAGTATAAATCCTCATTTCCCTTCCCTACTGTAATCTTGTCTCTTTCACAAATTTGAAAGTAATGAAAGGGAAAAGGGAGTGATCAACACTCACCAGCTTCTCTAGGTATATAACAACCTTTTCAATCCTTTATTTCATTATGTAAAAATAAAAAATTTCATGGAACATATGATCCACACTGAGCATATAAAATTAAAATGTTACATACGGGTTTTACCTATTTTTGACTCATCATACTTAAAAAAATTCCATGAGAACAGAAATTAAATAATATATAAAATAGTCTGTTTCCACACTTCAAAATTAAATCATAAAATAATTTCCATTTATTAAAAATATGATAAAATGAATGACAGTCATACTTTTTCTAAGAATACATGACTTGCTCTTACCTTTCTATAGGCCTGCAGCTGCCCATCTGGAATTCCTGATGGATATGAAATTGTTACAAGATTTTTTTGCCCCGGTAATAAAAAGTGCAATGGTTCAGGGACCACAATAGATGTTCCTTTCATATATTTCAAAATGCACTTTTCCATATCAGTTAGCTGATTATGAATTGCATCCACTAGAAGTTTTCGAACTCTGCAGGGGGAAAATATACAAGTGCATTAACAGAAGTTATAGTGGCTATGATCAATGATAAATGAAAGTGTGGAGTTAATATATCCCTGATGTAGTAGTAAAGAAACTTGATTGGGCCAGGTTTATTAAAGGAAGTCTAATTATGAAAAGTTAAATAAACTCTGTGTAGATAAAGGGAAAGCCCTATATCTAGGTTTTGCAGACAACACTATTTCCTCCAATAAACATTTAATTGCTAGATGACTCTTAGCTTAATTTAAAAAAAGGGAGTAAGTTATACTAAAAACAACAACTACCACGCTGGATAGCCTATATGATACTTTAAAGTGGACTCTGGTTACTCTGGGCAGGATCCTCACTGAACAGGGCAGCAGTACCATAAAATACGTACTTGCCCCACGCTTCCTCAGGAGCAACAGACAACACTGCATCCACTGGTAAAGTCATGGTAACGTAGTGGTGTCCTCCGCTTTCTCTTTCAATGACGGGGGTGACGGCGGCCAGAGAGGTTGACATTTCCAGCATGAGATCTATGTTTACTATTTGATGCTATAAAGATAAACGGTAACAGTCAACCTATCACACATTGACCACTAAACACAAAGGACTTTTTAAGGACCAAAGCTACATTACAGTAAATTGTTTAAAAGCTCAAATCTTATCCTAACAAAAATTCTTTTCTGCTTCAAAATAATGTGAGGAGAGGTGGACAGTGAGTGGGGAGTGAAGATGAAATCAGACTGACTCTGTACTGCTAAACATTAAAGCTGGTATAGACTCACCAAGGCTCATTATACTATTCTCTCAACTTCTGGATAGAATTAAATAAAAAAAAAATCAAATAAGCAAGATACAATAACCTCACACTGAAAGAACTTTTAAACTATATACCCCTGCTCTAAAGACATAAAGAACTATAACAAATATTGAATTCTATTACTAGGATTGATTTTGGCAGTGGCATGGAATAAGAATTCTGAAAATACTTTTTTTATATTGAATAAATGTTGCAAAATAGTGAGGATACTGGAAGCCAGGTTTCTTACTGGGAAAAGGTTAGGAACTGTGTAAAGGTGAAACAGAACTGGAGGTATAAATATGATTTACAGAGATAAATATGAGTGTAAGTGTTGTGTGTGTGTATGAAGAGTGTGGATTTATAGGTGTGTGTGCTCCTTGGAGAAATGGCTGACTCCTGAGTTTGATCAGCCTGAACAGCCTGTGGAAGAAAGTAGGAAGTTCTGAAAAATAGTGTCAAAAAACACTGGAGCTAGCGTGAAAAAGTTTCTGTTGGCCAAATCTTGGAATATGTGAGCCTCAAAATAACTAACAGTAACAGATTGTAACGCATTGCATAGAGTAAGGATCCATGCCTCTGTGCAGATAACACATAAATAAGGGAAAGGAAAAGCTCTCCTCACAGTATAACCTCACCTCATAAACAAAGGAGATGATAAAAGTATCTTCCCAGGAGATACTTCCTAATTGTAAAGGAAAAACCAGTACTTCACAGGAAGCCAAGCGGCAGGTACCACACTAAGTGATCACAGCGAGTATCACCCACACTAGGATAGCACGTACCCCTTTAATACCATGTGCTGAGGACACACGGGACCTCTGTGGTACTCCCACCACCAGTGCACAACCTGAATTTAATCATGACGAAGAGTGGGACAGATCCACCCTGAGGGACATCCTGCAAAATAACTGACCTGCACTCCTCACAATGCTAAGCTGCAAACATTGGTCATTCTCAAATAATTATTTACAGACAATTTTGTGTACACTTCAGACTGGTAAAACTAACAGCTCGTGGGACACCTCACTGGTATCTAACATAACATGACCCAAACCAACCTCATGTCTTCCCCAACTTCCGTTTTTACTCAAGCAGGAAAATGGTCATCCCACCTCCAATTAGTTTCCAAGTCCAATCCATTTGATCCCCTAAATATCTCTTGTATCCTTTCCCTCCTCTCTCTTACCATAGCGACTAGTTCAGTTCGGCTTCTCCTGAAATGTCCCCTGCCCACCTCTCAACCTCCCGTCCACCCTATTTCCCCTACCAGCCTGGAAAAACATTACTGTCAAATTAATTTCACACAACTTCCTGCCTTGAAGAAGTAGCTCCATTTTTTAAATCTCCAATAACTGGCAAAGTTTGTGACACATGGCAGGCAGGTACTCAATAGTACTGGTTCAAAAATCAACAGAACCAAGAACAGTATGGTCCTGGGGGGTGTGGCTCAGTTGGTTGGGCGTCTTCCAGTGCACCCAAAGGTTGCTGGTTTGATTGCCAGTCAGGGCACAAGCCTGGGTTGCAGGCTCGATCCCCAGTAGGGGGTGTGCAGCAGGCAGCCGATTGAGATTTTGCTCTCACGTCAATGTTTCTCTCTCTCCCTCTCCCTTTCTCTAAAAAAATACTTTTAAAAAAGAACAGTGTGAAGAAAAGTAAATCATTTAGTATTTACCATCTCACTCAGCATAATGTGTCACAGTCATGTTTCAGAATGATTCCTTTTTATTTTTAAATAATTTGTAAATGTACTCAAGCTGTTTTATTTTTGCAGGAATAAAGAAAGCATTCAAAAAAATTTAAGATAAGTACTATAATGGGACCAAAGTTTAGATATGAAAAAAAAAGAGAGAGAGAACTTCTGGCATGTCATTTATCTTTCTGGACCTCAATAATCTGGCCTGTAAAAACTAAGAGAGATGGAATAAATAATTTCTAAGGTCTCAACTCCAAATTCAAGGTTTGTTGTTTTTTTACCACTAAGAAGACAGGTGAGTTGCTTACCACGTCTGATAACTTTTTGTCTTTCTTTCTCATGAATTTTCGTTTTGTATCTTCTTCTTGTTCAAATCTAAATTTTTAACACACAAAGATGTTTATAATATGAAATGACATTTTAAAAACATTTCCAGCAATCTTCAAACATACTCACTGGATAAAGCGCATTATGGTCTTACAAGCAGAACTATCAGTCAGTTCTCTGGGAACGGTGTTTCTGTCACTGTTGGGCCACATATACACTGAACTGTGGCAAATTCTGAACACCAGTGCATTTGAAGAAAGCTTGTTTGACAGGTCACTCAACACATGTTTTAGTGCTTTCTTGATAAAAATTTCTAAATTCAAAGAATATAAATAGAAGTTAATGAGAAAAATTTTAAACTTTTCAAATGAATGCTTCCAAACACACAAAAGTAGAAGTAAAATTGACTCCCAAATATCCATTCCCCAGATTCAATAATTATAAAACATTTTTGCCTTTCTTTTTAAAAAGTGAGATAAAATTCATAGACCATAAAATTCATTCCTATAATGAGTACAGTGCAGTTGCTTTTAGTATACTCACAAGGTTTTATAATCATCACTCTCCAATTCCCCAAAATTTTGATAACCCCAGAAGAAACTCTGGACCTCTGAGCGGTCATTCCTCATTCCCCCTACACTTACCGATGGCAATTGCTAATCTTTTTGTCTTTATAGATTTGTCTATTTTGGACACTTCATATAAATGGAATCGTGCATCATGTGGCCTTGTGTGTCTGGCTTCTTTCACTCAGCATAATATTTTCAAGACTAATTCATTTAATTTACTAACCTATATGGTCTTAGACAATTTATCCTGTCTCCCACTCAGTTTCATTTACAAACTGATGAGAACCTCAATATAGTTCATCATCAATTTTATAATTCAAAAGGAGAGTTTTTGGACAGACCTACCATTAGCAGTAGCTAGCTGAAAAGCTAGTTCAAGGCCTCCTCTTATTCTGAAGAGTATATCCATAGTCTCTGAAATCACCTGAGACAAATGAAGCAAAAATTCCACTGTGAAACAAAACAAACTCATCCTCATATAAATTACAGTCTAACTGAGCTTAGGTTAAGGCACTAATTAACCTTGACTTTTCAAATTTCATGAGTTAATTCTTTGTTTTATGAAGAAAAACAAAACACAACACCCTAAATTCTAAATCAGTGGTTCTCAACTTTTGTCCCACACTGGAATCCCCTGAGAAACTTAAACTACTGATACCTGGGCGGCACCCTTAGAGATTCTGATTGAGTCTAGGCCTAGGGACATTTAAAAGCTCCTCCAAACCAGTGATTCTACTGTGAAAAAACTGAGGCCCACTGCTCTAAGACCATGTTTCTATATTTTTCTCTTTTCTTTTTTTCCAGTTGTGCCACTGAGCAATAACTCAGAGTGTGACTTTCCACACTGGGCTTAAAGACTCAAGGCTTTTGTTTTAATATTGCACTTCTTGGACCCAGCTATCACCACACATCACAAGCCTTTGACACAAGGCTAGGATATAGATAGCTCGGTTAGTATCAAGTGCTATAAGACCACAGTTCTAAATTATAGTCTTAACAATGGGTTTAACAATAACACGAAAACATCAATGGTAAAGAACTAGTTTAAGAATGAGACAAAAACACTGAACCTAATATAATAATACTTGGTGGTCAAGATGATGAGAGAAAACTAATACATCGCTAATGGTAGGAGTATGAATTGTAGAACTTTACATAAGGCAAGGTGGTGATAAAAACCAATAGCCTCATATTCACATTCTTGGAGTAAGTCTGCATTTAAAAATTTAGTCTAAGATTCAGGTATAGGATGTTAACCTAAATGTCAACAACAGGAGACGGGTTAGATAATTATGAATAATGAATATTATACAGCCATGAAAAAATCATACTTTAGAATATTTCACAGCATAGGAAAATACTTGCAGCTTATAAAGGGAAAAATGCACTTGTAAAATGGAATCTATCAGCAGTTCTTAATTTGGGTCCATATGCTGAGTTTAGGTGGCTGATGACTTATGATGAATGACATGTACCATTTTGTTGGAGGCAGGAGAGGAGGAGAACCTCTGGGAAGAGGCTTCAAAGAATTCGTCGAGTCTCAAAATATTTTCCAAAAAGGCTGAAGAACCACACTACGTACGTAGTAAGAACACTATTTTGAAATAAATAAGTAAGTACTAACACTTACTGAGCTCTTAAAATGTAAAAGGCACGGTGCTAAGTGATTGGACAAAGATTAATCCTCAGAACACTCTGAAGCAGGTGCCCTTACTGTTCTTCTCATTTACAAACCTCTTGCCACATTTTTTAAAGGGTGATTTTTTTTTTATTTATTTCATAAATTGTAACCTGTTGAAAGGTCATACCCTTTGCCCCTAATTCTACTTCTGGGAATTTGGTCTAAGAAAATGATCAGAAAAGTTCAAGACAAATTTAGCTTCAACGTTGTCCACTTATTGTCTTGTTCATCATAGCGCCTCACCCCCCAAAACCCCACCTAACTGGCTACCAATAAGAAGCTGGCTGAATAAAGACCACCACCGTACAAAAATACTATGCACCCATTTGAGAGAAACAGATTTAACGGCAATAAAAGATACTGAAGCAGATAAAAGTTGAAAGGACAGGCAGGAGCAAATTGGACTCGGTGACTTACTGGATGACTTTGCACAATTTAACTAACCACTCACGTCTTCTGGACTCTTCTGTAAAGTTGGGAAAATAGACAACTTCATAGGACGGTTGTAAAGATTCTATAAACGATCATATGCGAAAGCACTAGAGTCTCCCTAGACTTCTGAAGAAATACTATTTAAGCAGAGATTGGAAGGGTCGGCAGGAATGAGTATGAACAATTCCAGAGGAAAGACGGGGTGGGGGTGAAGACCCCTTCCCGGCGGGGCGCAGACTGGGGAAGGTCTGCTGGAAAGACCACGCGGGAGAGACCAGGCAGCTGGTCAGATGGCGGCGGCACGGCCAAGGCCGGCGGGCGCGCGGGGAGTGGGAATTCACAGCCACTTAGAAGTGGGCTCCGCAGGGCTTGACTGTTGATCAGATGCGCAGGAGTTGAGCCGAGGGAGGTGTCAAGGAGAACACGCAGCTTTCTGGGTGCACGACACGGTGGAGGTGGCTCAGGTACCCGAGGGGGGGGCACCGGAGGAGGGGCAGGTGTGGGGCGCAGGGAGGCGGAGACGGGCGTTTGAGATCCATGAGCTATCCGCCTAGATATGTGGACCACGAGTCCAAAATAAAGGTCTCAGCTGAAAACAAACGTTTGGGAGAAGGCATAGGGTGTAAGGAAGCGTCGACACCATCACAGGCAGGACGGGGACCTGGAGGACACGGCCGAGCACGTCCACGGCAGGGAAACCGGAAGCGTGACATCCCTGCAACTAAGGGAGAAGGCTATCTGCAGAAAGGTATTCAGCCTTCCCAGGGACGCTCCTTCAAAACCTTCAAAAACGCCGAATAACCCCTCGTCCTCAAAAGGCATTCGTAAGGAAGAGGCGCGGGGAGCGCGTGTCCAAAGGCGGGTGAGCGGGGCCACGTCCCTGCGGTCCCCGCCAGGAGGCGCAGGGCAGGGCGGCCCCGCCTCGGAGCTGGCAGCTGCCATCGTGGGTCCCGGACGACCAGCTCCTTCCCAGAGCTGCGGAGCCGCAGTCGCGGCGGCCGCCAAGGCCCCAGGGGAAACGCCGGGGTCGGTGACCGCAGACGTACTCACCATGTCTGCGACGTGGCGAGGACCCGGCCGCCGCTTTCCGCCCGCGAGCTCCCGAGGCTGGGCCCGGACCGCGTCGCCGAGGGGCGGGGCCTGGGAAGGCCGACTACAACTCCCAGCATGCTCCGCAGCTGCGGCATGGGCCGTACCACTTCACAGCTCCCGGCAGAGAGTAGGGGGGCGGGGAGCAGGGGTCTAACTGTACCTAACTTTACAACAAACTTTATTAAAGCTTAAAGTTAAATTTTATTTGTTGTGTCACGCGCATCCCAACCCACTCCTAAGTCTTTCCGCGTGTCCCTCGCTGCGGATTCGAGGTCTCCCCGTGTCCTCCCGTGGCGTCCTTGGAATGGATCCTCCCGTTCCCCAGGCAACGCGTCTGGATAAACCCGGCTGGGCGCCCGGCGTGCGGCTCCCGCCCCGCGAGGTCCCGCGTGGGAACGCATGCGCGACGCTGGCTCGCCCTCCTCGTCGCTCCTGCGGCTGACTTAACCCGACGGCAGCTGAGACGACGTGGTCTCGGTGGTCGCATTGAGTGCCCTTCTGACAGGTGACTTGGTCGTCGGGGCCGCCGGGTGTTGCTCTTTAGATCCCCCCTGCTCCGAGCCTCCGTTTCCCAGGTGGGAAATCGTTTTCCTCGCACGTCAGCCAGAGGCGGTGCGCCCCTCTGCACCCCACCCCGCACTGTCTCCAGGCCTCTCGAAGGGAACTTGCCTCGTTCCACGTGCGTTAGCTTAGCTCGTACCTACCACAGTGTAAGCTCTCTGGGGGCAGCATCTCTGCCTTTTAAAAAATCTCAGTTTTCTTTGACCAGCGAGCTTTACCCTGAGGAGGGTTTGCAGAGAACCTGCTAAGGAAGGAATGATTCTGTAAATGTGGCTCCAGAAGCGTGGAGTGGAAGAACCCAGGGCGAGAACCCTGTGTCCCCTCGCCCTGCTGCGCCAGGTGCTGGGAATAGGGCGCTAAGAACCAAACTCGCGCCAGGGTTCCAGCCTCTGTAGAGCCGACAACCGAGTGGGT